TTACAACTTTCCTCTTAACATCAGAGCCCAAATGCAATTTCAGGGCCACCAACCCTGCTCTGAATTGTGACCTCCTGCGCTTGAAACGAGTTGCAGATTTTCATTGCTTTGATGAATCTAGATGTTGATGTACATTTAAAATCACAATTCTTTAATGCTGCAACATCCAAGGTTGCAACTCTTTGGTCACAGAACCATCCATCTTTATCCTAGAAGTAGGACCGTTGCAAACAACCTTTTAGCTAGCATGCATATACAGTAATGCTAGCTCATGTGCCATGAGGGAAGAAGTTTAAGTAGTGAAAGTATCTTTGATAATGATGCAATATTTTGATAAACCCCAGATCCACGCACCTTCTGGAATTTTGTTGCATCATCATATCTTTGGGTCGCCAGGCCAAGATTAGCCTTATGTACATGAGGAACGTGTGTGAATGACTGTAAAGTGTTCATGGTAGCGTGCGTGCTTCAACGCCTGCCAATTTCTGATAATCAAACATCGCATATTCGAAATGTTTCTTTTTAAATGGTGTGCTGCCTTGACATCCTGTGATTATAATATTTATAATAATAGTATATTAATATTGATTACGAAAAGTAAAATATTATCAATGAAAATCTTGTAGTTACCCAGCAATGATCTGTTCCGCGTTTTATTTCCAATTAAAATATTTATAAACAAATAAAAACATCAATGCAAATTAAAAAAAAGTACCTCTGGTTAGCTATTAACACGTTACTTTAAGAGACCCAAACCAAACCATAAACCAAACAACAACACTCACGTTTTGTTACCTTGGACTCTGTCAAAAAATAAATTGTTTTTCCAAAAAAGAAAAAAAAAATCAAATCGCGTCCGTCCTACCAAAAAAAAAACCAATAGGATAAATAGTTAATGTGTACACGTCGATCAAATCAAACTTAACAAAAAAAATGCCAAACAATAAAAAAATTATTGGCAAAAAAAGAAAAGGCAAAGATGCAGTCGAGGTGAGAGAGTAAGTATTAAGAATGGTGGTGGTGGTTATCGCCATCACTCATCACTCTAGTTTACATAAATAGAAATGCTAAAATGTACTATACATGTTTTTGTTTTTTTAATACATATCAAAATGTCATTAAAAAGTCAAGAAAATAAACGAAAAAAAGAAAGTGGAGTAATTAAAACAAGAAATCCTGAAGGACAAAAAAGTTCCCATGAACAGAAAAAAAGGAGAACAGTCAATGATGAACCAACAGAAGAGTCTGTTCTCTTTGATGAATCAAATGAGGATGTTTTAATTAATTCTATTGATAAATCAGATTTGAAAGGAGAGACAACATTACCAGTTTCAAAGAAGATCATTGATGTAAGTTTTTGTTCGATACAGTCAAGTTAAAACTTGATAATTATATTCTTAGCATGCTGATATAATTATACTTGATAGACTTCAAAGCAAGAATTTTTGCAAAGAATCTCCAAGAAATTCAAGAACTATCAAGAAAAAATTCCAAAGTCACGCCAAATTATAACGTAAGCTTTGTTGCTAAGATTTCAACATAATAAAATTACTTGTTTTTAAGTTTGCTTGCAATTTAATAGGTTGGGTTACTGGGGCATCTTTGACCTAACGCAGGAAAGTCTCTATGGGTGTATAGAGTTCTCCCAAAGTGAAATCAATGAAATCTCTCAAGGTTTTGCCAATAGTGTTCACTGGTCTCCACAACCAACACCAAAAAACCTTTGTGAATATTTTGATTCTGGCTGTGATCCTGTTAAACTTGTAGATTATGAAGATAACGAAAAACTACACGCGAATATTCAATTTATGTAAGGATTGACTCATCATTATCTATGTAGTATACTCTAATATCTAACAAGATTTTTTTTTGTCAGAATATTTAATATGTCTAAGAAGGGAGCCAAGACAGAGGAAGAACTTAAATTTACCACAATATACCCTTTATTTAATGCAGTTATGGACACTTCATTAGTGAAAGATATATGGTATGTGATTGTGTGATGATTTACAGCAGGGTATATAATATTAAGAGATTTGTATCTTTGTGCACATAGGGGAGAGACTCAGGCACTTAGTTCGAAAAACTTGAGGAATGAAAATGCAAATCCTTTTATCAAAGCTCACATGGGAAGAAAGGTGGATATGAGAGGCATACTCACAAGGACTTCCAATAATTTTGAAGCCTTATACGGAGAAGTAGCATATGGACTATGTCCACTTGGCATGTCACTTGCTTCACAGAAAAAGAAATATTTAGATAAAGTCAAACTTGCTGTATTAATGCGAGACTCTTTGAATTATATTCTCAAAAAATGGAAATATTTACATGACAATCAGAGAAAGAAGCTAATTGTATATGGTTGGCTACTTGTAGGTAGGTTCATTCTGACAGATATTTTATGTGTATGACAATTAACCTAGACTTGCTATATAACTGATTGATTTATTTCACTCAATGCAGGGTTGGAATTATCTCTATATGCGATGAACTGGGCCGGAGATGGGATATATCACTTTGGACTAATAGAAAGTTGTTCTATTCCATCAAATAAAGAAAACTGTGCTTTACTTGAAGGTGCCTTTTGCCTCTTGAAAGAATTGGAGGTATGTATATGTATATTGTTCTTGTTCTATCATTATAACCAATTTTCAAATGCTCAACTAATCTGGTTTTGTTCAGAGGAAGTTGACTGAAACAGAAAAGCTCATCCAGGAATTTCAAACCGAAAATATACGTGGAAAATGTAGACAAGTAGCTATTGAAAATAGTCCAACCCTCAATCTTAACAGAACTCCTTAAGTGTTTTATTTCTTAAAAATCTTTCTTTAAATGGTTAATCAATAATAATGATATGGTGTTGACTTTGCAACTTCAAGTTTAATAATTTTACTTCACTATTTTCACTCCAAAAACTAATATATGTAACTGATTTCATCTTTGCACTATAAAGGAAATTTTAAACATATAAATAAACAAAACCAATCTTTTATGTAAGAAAACCCTTTTCCTTATGTCAAAATTTAATTAAGTTTTCTCTTTATTAATTGCAGAAAGCTTATCTTTTATACAAAAATGTATAATATTACAATTAAATAAATTACTGAGCACTTAACTGGTAACTTGTTTCATAAGAAAATATAAATAATATTATATAAATAATAATATAGAAAAATAAGATGGTTGTTGGTCGAATATGTAGATCAAAATTATATATAGTCTTATATAAAAATTAATATGTGAAGATTTTTTTTGGAATGTGTTTTTCGAAGTTCTAGTGTTACAACAAATTTCATTATCACTCATTAAAGTGTCTGCACACAATACTAATATTAATAATAACAAAGTTGATCAGCTAGCAAAACTAGCACACAATATTGATGCACCATTCCTAAGTCTATTTATTACCACACTATGTTCCATCAATAACATATTTCCCATTATGGAACAATAACTTTGTAGAAATCAAATTGTGCCAATTCATAACTAGGGTTTTTATTCATGAATATCATGAATATCATTAAGGGGGTTACACACTATTAAAACAGCAAAAAATCCCTTAAAAACATGAGTTGATCACTTGATTTTAATAGTGTGTGACCCTGTGTGACCCCCTTATGATATTCATGAATACAAACCCTATTCATAACACAATTATCAAGAGAAAAAGGTTTTGAAAAATTTTTAAACTTAAACAGAAATACAAAATATCAAAAACACAAAGGCATCGATTGGACTTCAACCTTTTTTGTACTAAACAATGAAGATAAACAACAGGAAACTTCATTTATAGCATCTAAAATTAAAGCACACAAAATTAAATTATTTTTGGAAGAGTTACCCACAATTGAACATATGAAGAAACATAGACCAGACCTCTACATTAATTGGAAGCGCCCAACATGCAATAATCAACAAGAAACCTTTGAGCACATCTGGACCTGTCCTCAAAACCGATCCAAGAGTGCCCACATAATTTTAAATTCCAAGAAAAAACCTTTAGTTTTAATTAAACAGAATACCAAACAAAATTTCAAATATCATGATTTAGATCATGTCTCAATTTGGACCAATAATATTTGTAAGGAAAGACTGAACTGACTTTCATAGACATAATTAAGGGAATTGTACCCAAATTTCTCTCTGAAAAAATCAATAGTGTAGTTAAAAACAAACCAATAACCAACAAAATTATTACCTTTTTTATTAATAAAATTTATAGAGAAATAATGAAACACATATGGTACCCCCGATGTGAGGCCATGATTATACAAGAAAAAACATTGGGTATTAATAATAAAATAAAAAAGGCAAAATGTACAAATAGAAACAGATCATCAATTACCCCTAGATCAACTAATATAGAAAATGAACACAGAGGTTTAAAAGGTACAACATATTCACTAAACTATGGAGATACTTGGTTGAATTATTATACCAGGAGTTAACCAGGTATTAACCTCCCATTAAACCAAGGTGTTAAATCTTAATACTTTCAGTAGGCCTAGGTTTTGGGAATCAATACCAGGTTGGTCATATGTGCCACTTTCTTTGTAAAGTATGGGCCATAAATGGTGGCAGTAACATTTTTTATTTTTTACTTAATAAAAATTACGTTGCAACTAATGTTGTGTCCAAAAAATTTTTTAGATGTTATCAAGTTTGTTTATTGTAAATATTACATTGGGAAAACTTTCCTGATATCAATAATAAACTTGTCTGTTCCTTTAATGTTAATGATTGAGTCAATTACACAAATGGATGTCAAATTAAATGGCATTTTGTTTATTAGACCAAAAAAATAAAAAAAATCAGTTTCACTGTTTTAGTATAATTAACACAAAACAACAATTTTCTTCAATTGTTTTTTAGAAATAACAATAATTCTCTTATTTATTTTTAGTATGGTCAATAATAATTTCCACAATTTTATTTTATCCATTTTTCATTTTTAATTATTTCTTATGGTCTTTTATATCAATTATTGAATATACATTTGAAAGTATTTCTGATATTTATTTGCAGATCCACCAAAATTTAATTCTTTCTGCACCAATTTCAGAATCTCTTCAATTTTAAAACCTACAAAGTGAACATAAAATAATATATAGGGTTATAGGTATATGAAAAGTAATAATAACCAAATTAACAAACATAATGGTTCTAATGAATATCAAAAAGCAATTGATTTTTTAGAAAAAGGTTGTGATTGTGGTTGTTCTTCAAGAATTCCCAAGGAACAATTTGCAGAATTAAGGGAATCTTTTCAAGCTCTCACTAAACCAGAACAAGACATATTTTTAATGGCCCAGATCAAAGTAATGGATGGTGGATCAACAAGTACCAGCAGACGCCTTAAAAAGAAAACCAGATCTAATAAAAGAACTTTCTATCATTGAGATCACAATACACTCCTTTGTCAAGAAACTTATCTCAACATGTTAGGAATTGGTAGGACTTATTTTGAAAATATTAGAAACCATCTAATAAACAATGGTCTTCTAGCAAGAGTTCATGGTAATATTAAAAAGATGCCTCAATGAAAAACTAAAATGGTGATTGATAAAAATGTTGCAGAAGTAGTAAAGAATTTTCTAGGAAATTATGCAGAAGTCCATGGATTGCCAAGTCCAGGAAGAAGTATCAATAGAATAACTCAATCAATTGTATTCTCACCAGCTTTCATGGCAGGAACTTGTTTTTCTTTATCCATGTTGGATAGCATAATATGTCAATCATTCTATCAACCACATCTAGTTGCTATCATTAACCAATTACTTTTTGGAGCTCCTCCACTTCAACTTTCTTCAGGTACAACTTGTTCTGCGCCCGCTCATTCACACATTTTTCAAATTCCTGTCCCCGTAAGATTTATAGGTTCACAATATGGATCAATGTTTCATTTCTTATTGGGCGAGAAAAGAGCTATTCCTTTGGGTCTATATCGTACCAATAAATTTATAACACCAAATGGTAAAACCAAATATTCTAAATATGTATATACTTGTCCCAGATATAATGTAATGTTGAGAGATGATGATAAAGTTTTTGTGTTGAGTAAACAAATTCCATCTATATTGTAATCTATTTTTTTTTTATTTTGTTTTTTTTTTTTAGTTCTTTTTCAATTGTAAATGATTTCATTAAAAAAATAATATATATACGATGCTATTATTCAATTTATAAAACAAGTTTTTGTTTGTTTTCTTTCAAGTAATCAATTACCTTTTTTACTTCAAGAAAAAGTCTGATATAAACTTAGAAAGAAGTCCATACATATCCCAGCTATATCTGTTATATCAGAGATAGGAGATTACCAAGATTATTTTAATAATCATTCAAAATTTGTTGTTAATGAAAATTCTAATGGACATAATTAACTGCATGTGAAAAAGAACTAAACAGATATGAAACTTAAAAAAGTTTCAATCATCCGAGATGAATAATATATTGTTTTCTAATATTTTCTGTGTACACAGATATTTCTTGCTTAAAGATAATAATAATGGAATCCTGAAATTGGGTTCCAGGAAGGATGTACAATAGTAATATCATTGCACTGTTTTTTGATGATCGCACATCCTTATTAAAGGATTGTCTTTTAAGACAGTGTATTCTAATTATATAATGCTATTTTCATCAATTACGTCTTTAGATGGTTTGTTTTGCTTGTTATTCTTTTACAACAGTGGTAAAAGTAGTAGCTAGTAAAGTATTGAAGATTTGAATTTATATACAGTATATTGAAACATCAAGAAAAAAATGAAAGTCCTTACAAATTACACAAGTAATTGTAATCATGAAAAGGCTGTAGATGAGATCTCAACGATTCCAATTCTTTATATACATTGCCGTGTTTTAATGCAACGAAGGTTTTTAATCAGTTTGGTTTGTCATTTTTATAGGAACAACTGCCAAGGTACATTTGCTAATTGGCGCGTCCAGTTTTCTTAATAATGGAATTTGATATTTCAGAAGAAGTTGCTGTATCTATATGTATCTATACCAAATCAACTGCAAGAATGTTAACATTGCGAGTAATAGCTGCTGATCTTTAATCTTTGTATGGTGCAAGTCACCTAGTCCCGCAACTTGCTGCGCCTCGTGACCAATTTTGGGAAAAAACATCAAAACTCAGAATTGTAAGTTATGCTCAAAAATGCAATAAAATCTTTATATCACGTGACATTTAATGGTGATATAGTGCCGGTCACAAGTACACATCCAATAAAAATTGCCTTTCTAAGAAATTATATTCAGCAAAATAGAAAAACCATTTTGAAAAAATAACATCATCATTTTGTTTATTTTAAGTAAAGCTATCAACTGGCGATTAGATTTTGAACATTGG